GTGTGTGTGTGTGTGTGTGTGTGTGTGTGTGTGTTTCCTGTGTCCGGGCCATGCCTGACTCCCTGGCTACTGGCTCCAAATGGACCCCTCTCCTGGAATCCTTGATGACAGTGCAGGGCTTACTGAGAATTAATCCTGCCAGGAGGTGGGGCTGTCCAGGGGGGAGAGCTGGTTGCTTGTCCCTGGCTGGGGGAACCAGGTGAGGGCTTAAACGTATACCTCCTTTCAGCCTCACTGGATCACTCAGCTACCTAGTTTTCACTGGGTATTGGAAGACCTGCCTCCATTTGGATCAGATGAATGAGATCATGTCTGGGGTGGATCATGGGCTGTTTAGGGATGGGCCCAGGTGGGTGCCTGTGTAGCGTCTGAGGCTTGAAGAGTACCTGTGGGGCTGGAAGGGGGGTGGCGAGTTGCTGAAGGAGTGAGGCCAGGTTGGAAAACTCACAGTCCTGTAATACTGGGCTATCCTCCATTATTGTGTTGGTCTGGGCATACCTGTTATTGGGGTCTTTGGTGCCTTGGTACAAACTGGAAAGAAGGTGTCCCTTATTCTGGGTGGTCTCAGCCTGGCTGACTCATTGCTTGGCAGGCAGAGAACAGGTTGGTCTTCAGACCTCCTTGCACAGGGCACAACCTGTACAACACACGCAAAGCCCTGGGTTTGGGCCCTGGACCCTAGTTTGGGGAGTGCTAGATGTGGGGTGCGTGTGTCTGCTTTTCCAAATCCCTGGAAACAGCACGGGTTATGGGTAGAAGAGGCGGCTACCCTCTTTCCTGGACCTGTTGTTGAATGGGGGAGACCAAGACAGAAACCCTTCACGATTCCAGAGTCGGGTGACACGAGGATCAGAGAGGAGGGAGAAAGTGACTGCGTTCCGATCCCAGCTCCGGCTTCTGGGGCTGGGGTACCAGTTTCTCCCGTAACTTTTGCCAGAGACTCCAGATCAGCCTGCCTCGCCCCACCGCCGTAAACGGTTCAAAGCCTCCCTGCACTTTTTTCCTTTCGTGTACACCCAGTCCCACATCAGGCCCCCCGAGCGAACGAGTCTGTAAGGTCTCCCCACCTGGTAGTGGGCACTGTCACCTGAAAAGGAGTTTGGGTGTGGCTTCTGTAGCCATTTCCCTTTCCTCGAGTGCTGGCAGCCTCACCAGTTAGAGAAGAAGCGAGGGTCTGGCTGTTTTTGCTGATTCCCTCTGGGCCCCTGGGGCAGATGTCCCTCCTTCTCTTCCCCAGGTGTAAACTCACAAGCCCTGAGGTCTCCTTCAACTCTCATTCCTGAGTTGGGGGCCTCTAACCCTGCTCCGTCTCTCCCTAGGGATGCCGTTCTGAGTGCCTGACTGCCTCGCCCCGAAGGATGGCCTCTGATGGGCATTAGAGGCACAGCGGCCCCGGGCTCCTGTCCCGTCCGTCTGTCTGTTTTCGTCTGTCTCTCTTGACATCACCGCAGCTCCACCCCCTCCCGTCCCAGCCCCCAACGCCAGCTTCCTGTGGGCCCAGAGCCGGCATGAACTCTCCCACCGAGTCGGGTAAGAGCTGGGAGGCCAGAGAAGGGCACCCTGGGGTGGTTTTGGCTAAATGAGCTTGTGTGAGTTTCCAGCCAAGGCCAGCTGACCTTTGGGGTCTGAGCTGTAAAGGAACAAGGGGGGGTCAGGAATGGAGAAGCCTTTGGAGAAAAAGACCGAGGCAAACCTGAAGTTATTGACCATGGGGTAGAGCTGGAAATTGATGAGCTGACAGTACAGCCTGGCCCTGGGAGGACATGGGTCCAACTCTGTCCCCATGCCTACCTTCTCAACTAGGGAGCCTCCAGTCCCCCTTCTGCCCTGCCCTGCCCTGTTTGCCAAGACAGGCAGGCCTGAGAAGGAGACATGTATCCCTGAATGTCTCTGGGCCATCTGAGGATGATACTGGAAGATTTCCTACAGCAGCCGAATGCAGCTTCCTTTTTTGTGGTGGTGTTTCTCCTCCTGGTGGAGAGTTTCTCTGTGTTCCATGTTTTTTTTCTTAGTGGAGGTTCGCAGGGCCTTTGGCCTTAGCCTTTGCTGGGATGTGTGGTACCGGGATGGAGGGGCGCAGTGATGCGTTGGTAGAGGAGTCTTGGCTTTCTCCTTTGAGTCTGGGTACCCCCTCTCTTCTTGGGCCCTGGACATGGTGGGTTCCTAATTTGGGGTCTTTGGCCCTGCAATTTCCTAGTCCCCTTTGCTCCTAGGAGGCTGCCTAGTACTGCCAGAAATAGTCTATGGGTGAGTCTCCAGGCAGATTTATGGATGGGTGGGTCTGGGTGTATGCCCATGAGGATGTGTCCAAGTGGCCCGAGCTGGACCCTCAGGAGTTTCACAGGAGGGTCATGGGTCAGTGTGGTCAGAGTAATAACTACCTTCTTTCCCTGGCTGTCTCCTTCGGCACAGTCTTAGAGGGTCAGAGTCCATCGTGTTCCATTTTACCGCCCCCCCCCACCCCAGCCTAGCCTGTCCCCCACATCTTTTTCCGTAGGGGTAGAGGGATATTTCCCCATCTTGTAGAGGCAAGACAACTAGGGCCTAGAGATGAAAACCCATTTGCAGGATGGAAGCAGCATCAGGATCCAAGGCTTCTCCCATCTCATTGCTGATCATTGATTTGCTGGACCTGATGCTTTCTTTAAAAAAATTTTTTTTTATTATGTTTATTTTGTTTCTTTGTTTCTGAGAGAGAGAGAGAGAGAGCGTGAGCGCACACAAGTGGGGAAGAGGCAGAGAGAGAGAGGGAGACACAGAGTCCAAAGGAGGCTCTAGGCTCTGAGCTGTCAGCACAGAGCCTGA